AGGATATTATATCATGACCTACTGGGGCTTATACCAGGTAAACAAGATGGATTTTTCATTCAAAAATCAATAAATACAATTCACAAAATTAAGAGATTAAAGGAGAAAAATCATATGATCTTCATTGATGCAGAAAAAAAAATTGACAAAGGTCAACATACATTCTTCACTAAGAAAGAAAGAAAACCTGTCAGCAAAATTAGAAAAGAAAATACTGTGGATAATTGATCCAATTTAGATAAATGATATCAACGAAAACCTAAAATGAACACTCTACACCACAGTGAACTATTGAACATTTTCCATTTTAGATCAGGAGAAAAAAATGGATTCTTCTCTCACCAATGTGATTAAACCTGACACTAGAGAGCCTCAGGCAGTATTAGAGGTCCTACTTAGTGTAATAAAGCAAATGGGGGAAAAGGCATAAAGATTATGAGAAAGAAGCAAAACTGTCTTTCTTTACAAAAGAAATGATTGTTTTGCCTCAAAATAGCCTTCTCAACTTTGTCAAAAACATAGCCATTGACAGTCTCTGTATTTTATATATTCACGCAGACAACAGGAACAGAGAGAGGTTGGGGCCTTTCCTAGTCCAAATATATCAGGAAAGGGATTCATTAATTCATGTTTGATCAGGGACTTTTACCTGGACCAGTCAACTGGGTCAAGAGTGGACACCATATTCAGTCCAGCATGGAACAAGAGGGCACAAAATCATGTGCTGGAGATAGGATGGCATCGTCTTAAGTAAGAAGAATTCCATTGAAAGAAGAATTTTGAAGTCTGACTTTCAAGAAAGAGATACTGGAAAGAACATTCCAGAGTTGATAAATCAGTCACGTACAGTCATGAAAACAGAAATCACTTTTATTTGTTGAAATAGAATCCATTTGTATAGTTAATAGAAGAGCCGAGACCAAAAGTGGGGGCTTGTGAAACAACTTGCATGAAGAAGCAATAATCTAAAGCTGGAGAGACAAGTGTCGAGGTGTTGATACTGAAGCTCAGAGACCTGGGCTTCACAGCAGAAAGTGACAACACACAGGGCCTATCTTGTGGGAGTTGGAGTAATGGAGGAGATAAGCCTGCTCCCAGACACCGTCTGAAGCATACAAGAAGTGAGGGAAACCCCAAATTGTCCTTTCCTCCCCACTCACAATTTTCATCCAGTGCCTCATACATTGGCTGAACCCAGCAGGAAGCCAACAGAAAGGAGAAATGGGATATCATGCTGTAGATGCAATTTCCACTGCAATAGAGAGCAGGAAGAAAGGAGCAGGAGAGATCTCAGAGCAAACAGGCAAAGACCAGCAATGGTGTCAACTCCAGATACTGGTATTAGAGAAACAGAAAAAAGTTCCTATAAGAAAAAGGGCTGAGAAAAACTCATGAGCTCATTGTTAACAAGTTTATTTACTTCTAATAATCGCTCAGACCTTAAATGGAAAACCACTTTGACTATTTACTTAAGGTCAGAAAACTTTTGCACTGGCCTCACTCTGGGACTCGGCTTCAGAGCTATAAAACCCAAACTCTGCTCTGTGACAGAGCCTGCACATTGGACTTGCCTCCTCCAATCCAGCTATGGAGAGCCTTACTGCAGGCCATTCATGTAATCTTTCTACTTGGAATCGTCTGTGTTTTGGTTCTTTCAGATCCAAGAACACAACATTCTCAGCACAAGTCTTTAGTGTTTTGATTATGAGTTACAACAAAGATATTTATTACCACTTGAAATGATAAACAAATAATACACTTGTTCATTCATCCAGTCATTCATCTATTTATTCATTCTTTCAATCACCACCCACCCTGGGCTTTCTTATGCTTTAATGTTAATATGTTGGATCCTTAGGACTCAAAAATGAACATCTCCTGAAGAAGCATGGAATTTTATTTCCAAGAAATACAAATTAGATTGAAGCTAAACTTAAGGAAAGACTGCTCACTTATTATTGCCTACATAATATTATTTATTTAAGGTCCCTATATAGTGGAAGCTCCATGAAGAAAAGAGTTTTATCTGTCTTGTTCCATTCTTTCTTCTTAGAGCCCAGCAACTGATAGGTACAGAATGAGAATTGAGCAGAAATTCCAAATAAATTAATCTGATAGTTAGTGCATATGAAAAATAGATGCATAAAAATTATTAATTAAATGAAAAGCATGTTTTTTTTTTTGTTCTTTAATTCATGGTGTATTAATTTCCTGTTGGTGCTATCACAAATTACCATAAACTTAGTTGTTTAAAATAACACAAATTTATTCTTTTACCATTCTGGAAATCAGAAGTCAAAACTGGGTTGACAGGGTTGCTTTCCTTCCAGAGGCTCTTAGGGAGAATCTTTCCTCACCTTTCTAGCTTCTGAAGATATTTTTATTCTTTGGCTCATCTTGCATTTTCAAAGACAACAGTGTAGTATCTTCCAGTCTCTCTTTCTTTCTGTAGTCACCTCACTTTTTTTCTGACTTTTAGCCCTCTACCTCCCTCTTATAATGACCCTTGAGATTACAAGGGCCCACCTGAATGATGTACCCATGTCAAGATCCCTAACTTAATCACATCTGCAAAGACCTTTTACCATGTAAGGGAACATATTCGCAGGTTCTGGCAATTATATATGGACATCTTTGGGGAGCCATTATTGAGCCTACCACATAGTGTCTCTAGTTTAAGAGATTGGAAAGTCTGTTTAATTCAAGTCTCAATGGGAAGAGATATTTCTATAGAGTAGCTTGCTTTTCCGTTAAACTCTCCAATTTACTGGCCACATATTAATTACAGTGAGGTTTCTCTTTTAAAAAGGTAAAGCCACTCTTCCTTCTGAACACTTGAAGTCACAGCTGGACAGAGCAGTTTAAAATCTCTAGTGCAGATGTGTTAACATCTTCACAGAGGCACAGATGCTGTGACATCCAATTTCATGGAGGAGACTGCCAGGAAAGTTTCTTTTGTTCCACTGGCCTTTAAATCACCCTAGAGACCTTAATCTGGTGTCTAAAATGCAAACTACTTATTACCTCAACTGAGGTAATAATTTGAAGAGTTCGTGTAATTCTTGCAATTGAAAAACCATCATGTTTGCATCATCCTTTTGTCTTTACAGCAAAAGTATATGCAGCACATTCTATGTCTAAAAATACTCTGAGGGGATGCACAGAAACATGGTCCCTGTCCTCAGATGAACTTTACTATCTAATTGCAAACAAATACTAGACCCCAGTTAGTTGTACCTGGGCAAGGGCTCTAGTTATTACCTGGACCTGTGTGCTTCTACTTTAATAGGGGTCTGTGAGTCCATCCAGTATCTGAGTATCAATGCCAAGTTGGATCCTGAATCAGGAGTCCTTGAATGTTTGGGTATTCCCATTTCCCCAGGGCCTATGTACTCAAGAAATGGTCAGTGGTCTACTAGAGGGAGGGCAGGAGAAATCATTTTCATTATTCTTTCCTGGAGTTCCAGGGTCATTCTTCTTGAGGACCTGGCGTCTCCTCCAGGTGAGGGGTTCGAGGTCTGAAATTGGCTCAGATCAAGGCTAAGAATTGTAATCCTTTTTATTGGGGCTAAAAATCAATAGCCTCCTCATAAACCATCCTTAACTTCATTGATTCTTTTCTCCCTATCCCTCTTGACCATGTTCTGTTGATCATCTTCTGAATTCTCTATGGTCAGGTTAGGCTGTCACTCTAACCTTGCTGTTCAACTATCACTGCATCCACTTGGATTCTGATGTTTAAATGCCAACACCTGGCCTCCATGTGTCAGAGTTGCTCATCCCCACCACTGTCAGGAGTCCAGTTCTGCAATGGCACGTTGTCCCACCCACCCTGACATACAGCAGGGAGGCTGCCACCGAATGTTAAGGATGACAGGATCCCTCTTACCAGTGCATGTTCTTGTTTTTCAGTAATTCTAACACCTTAAAGCTATAATTCAAAGATAGACCAATGTTACTGCAATAAACAAAAAATTAAAAAAAAAAAAAAAGAAAATAGAGGCCTCTCTAGCTAAGATTTTAAAGGATTGCCCGAAACTTTACGGCTTAGTTTTGATGTGAATATAAGGATTAAAAAAACAAGTCCAAAATGAAAACAAGATTAGAATGCAAATTTTGTGTTTTCCAGCACTCTGATTCTTAGCCTTAAATCCCTCATTAAACTAGCTGATGTAATAACATCAGCAATGAGTAATTTACCATCTAGTGGTCAGTTTCACATCTCTATTAGTATTTATTAGTAGTACTATGCTTCACATTTTCCTTTTTATTTATAAATAGATAATACCAGCTTTCTTTACAAATTTCAAAAGATAGAATATATGATGAAAACTATGTGTCCCTCCCACTCATGATCCCACCCAGGTCTCCTCAGAAGGAACCAACGTTACTAGTTTTCATGAATTCTTTTTTTCCACAGATACCACACTATACACACTGTTTTGCACCTCATATTTTTCACCTTAAAATATATCTTGAAGAATATTATATATAAGTTTATGTAACTTCTATTGTCGAATTATTTAATAGCTATCTAGAATTCTACAACAGGTATGTACAAAACTTTATATTATCAATCTTTACATTAAAAGAAGTACCTCAATGAATCTCATTTATGTGTGTGTGTGTTTTTTTCCTAAAAGTGAACATGTATTTTTCCATGTATTTTCCTAAAAGTGAATATGTTAAATCAAGGCATAAATACATTAAAATGTAAGAAATATTAGGACAACTTCTAAATAGAAATTGTACACTTTACATTCCCATATAAGACTATTTTTCCATACCTTTCTAACACAATTTGGTATCAAATTTATTAATCCTTGTCAATCTGAAAAGTGAAAGATTATATCTGGTGGGTTTAGTTTTATTTCTCTAATTATGAGTGAGGTTGAATATCTTTTATTCAATTTAATCCTATTTAAGCTAAAACACATCAAAAATAGCGTGGAGCATATATGCACATTGTATAATTTCCTTAAAAGAAAGAGAAGCTAATCCTATTTAATCAGTGAGCTCAGGCCCTTCAGCCCCCAGCCAACTACTTTAGCAGGAATAGACAGGATTGCAGATGCTTCAGTGGCAAGGGTGTTCAGGGCCCGTGCAATCCAGGGAGTTTTATCCTTTTCTGTAGTCTCAATCAGATTTCTCAGACGATTTATCTCTGCATTCATCTCCTCAGATTTCTTCCTAAATCCTTCATTAAGCAGCTCCTCTTGGTTCTAAGACAAAAGGTGTGGGAGGAAGAAAAGGTAAACCTTTGAAAATCTCCATTTTCTCAAGAGTCAGATATTATATTTAAGAACTTTGTTAAACTCTCTTTTACACAGAAAAGTACTGTTTCTTATTAGATCTTCAGAGGATAACATTTGAAGCAGATAATATCTGCTGAATTGGACCAGGACAATGAGAGGAAGGACAGTTTACAACTTTACTAATATTCATGCTCAACTAGGAGTTTGCTAGGGTGCTAAGCCAAGCATGAGGACAAATGCAATAACATGTTTCCACCAAAAATGTGGGTTAGGAGGGAGCCGTTAGTTCACTTTCACAAATTTTCAGTCCCACTTGGGATGGCATGGTCACCCATATGGTAGAAATAATGGAAACTTATAAGCTGATCAAGAAATCTGATATAAACACTTCTAGATGGGAAAAGAAAGAATTCCCACAATGCTATGTGGTGATTTAGGCAAGCTATCCACACCTAGAGACAACCGCAGCAAATTTAGAAGGCGTAGGCTCGCTATACTTCTAAGTCTGGACATATCTGATAGTTTTAGGTCAGCATAGATCCAAATTAGAACCTTTGGTGCTAGTCGAGTTCCTGATAATTGACAGTGATCTTGGTGATGCACCTGGTTGCTGCTTATATTAAAAACACCTGGTTGAAATATCTACTTGATAATCCATGAAACCCTGTTTAATTTGGGCTCCAGGAGATCTTCCTAGAATCCTACCAGTATAGCAACTCAAATCTTGGAGAGTTTATTTATATTCTCCAACAACTTGGAGGGGCCACGGTCATCCTGGACTCTCCAGTGTCTCAGTGTGGAGCAAAATTCAAAGGCCTCTCAAAAAGCCAGGATGCAGTATGGTGAATCTGATGCAGTAAATGGCAGTAGTGCTTCTCTCTGATTTTGCTTTAACTTTCGCCCATTCCTTCCTGATGTACCAGGGCCATGACTGTCAGGAACTACTGAGGCCATGTCATACTTACCATCAGCATGTGCTCCAGTATCCTCCTCTGCTCTCTCAGATCATTCTCTCTTTCCCACTCCAGCTTCCTTCTCAGTTGGGCTAGATTTTCCTTCAGGCTTCTCTCTTGAGCCTCCATCTGCTGCTGCTGTTCCCACAGTTGCTGCCTTAGCCATGCCTGTTCCTCCTCTGCTGCCTCCTTCCTGGCTCGCTCCACTGCCCCATGAAGGTTTTAGAAAGAGAAGAAAGTAACAGATCAGGCCTGAGCTCTACCACCTTGAGAACAGAGACCAAATTAAATTTGAAAGAGAGGGTGAGATATCTCAGAATTCCCTCCCATGGCCACACCATCAAGAGCAGATTTGAGAATGTGATGGAAAAGGCCTTGACTGTCTGGCTGATGTTCAGCCACAACTCTGCTTGTTATTTTCAGATTCAGTAGAATGTGCATTTCACAGAAGGACAGGAAGCTCAGGGTTTTGGAAAGATCTTCATTTGATCTTTGCTGGGCACTGCAGAGGGCACTGCAGGAATCTACCTTCCCCACTGAGAGTTGAGCCCTGCCCCGTACCTGCTGTGGCCTTCTCTCTTTCAGTGAGGGCTCTGTCTGCCTGCAGGATGGATTCCTCTATTGCTGCCAGTGACTGCAGGAAGCTCTGGAGGACCTCATTCGCCTGAGGAATCAAGGAGGAGCAAAGAAGTTAGATTTCCAGAGGAAATTTGTTCTGTACAAACAAGTCCATCCACATCATTTTTACTTTCTTCTTAAAATGCTCCAGAATCCCAACAAAGTGTCCAAGCTCCTTAGTGTGAACAGAGACCCTCCTGATCTCCCTCAAGTCCCTCTCCCAGTGCAACTTCCCCCTCCTCGCTCTAGATTTCAGCAAATCAGAATTATGTGCAGCTGCACAAACCCACAATCTCCGATGCTTTCATATATTTGCATGTTTACCTGCGGCTCTTCCCTTTGGACAACATCTCAGCCCGGACAACATGTACAAATACTTCAAAACTTACATCCCCCTTCTCTTCTGGCAAGTTTTCCTAGACTACATGCCTATTGTGAAATGCAGAGTCTACTATATGCTGATGTTCTTCCCTGCCACTTGCTAGATGTGTTACTTTAGGCAAGTTATTTAACCTTCCTATGCCTCCTCATTCACATCTATAAAATGTGGACAATCAGAGTAGATGCTTCATAACATTTTTGGAGGATTAAACTAAAATGTCTAGAGAAAGAGCTGAACAATATGCATATAAGCAATAGCAGCTCAGTAGATGTTAATTGTATTATTATTGTTACATTTATTACCACCACCAATGCAGCCCAGGATCATAGATTCATGAGTGTTAACGCTCTGTATGCAATTGTCTATGTATTTGACTTCGTTCTCATTTTTGATCTGCCTTGAATGCAAAGACTCTGCCTTTAACCTGTAAATCATCAGCACTCGGCAATTAAATGTAATGTTGTTGGATGAAGAAATGAATAATTTCTGTTCTGTCTCTCGTGGATTTCAGAAATCCATACTCATTTTTGGAAAATGGACATTTTTACTCTCCTCAGGAATAAATAGCAAACATTTCTACTCTCCTCAGATCTGAATAGCAAATAGTGGACCTTAAAAGCTAAAGCTGTCACAATATCCCCATGCTCTCTTATTACCCACAACTGGTGCTGTGCTCTCAGATTGTCAGGAGACACCCTTGGCTCTATTCTGTAGGCTTCCCATGCTCTGCTTCTTCCTCACCTTCACTCCTTTCCTGGGCACTTGCTGATAGTCCCATTCAATCCTTTCTTTTGCTTTCCTGTAGAGCTTGTATCCTCCAGGAACAGAGAAAGTTCCTGCTAAAATACATTCCATTAAGGCCTTTGAAAGTTGATCAAGTTTAGCCTGGCAGTATTTAACAGATGCCTCTTCATTTTGCAGCAAGAAACCCTCCTTCTTATTCTTTATGATTTCCTGCAAGAGAAATGTAGAGGGATGTCACCAGAAGAAAGGAACAGAGGAGATAAAATTCCAAAGAATCTTAGATATGTGGTCTAACTGTGGCCCTTGTAAGAAAAGCATTCTAGAGGAGCAGCACAAGCAATGTAGCAAGAATTAAGAGATTTACTCCCAACTCTGAAAACTCTCTCCAAGACCCTGCTAAAGCTTCATAACCTTCCTGGGCCTCAGGTTCTTCATCTGTGAAATGTTGAGGTTGCATTGCATATACTCTATAGTTCCTAGTAGCTGTAACATCCTGTGATTCTATCTTCAAGAATACAATGACACAATTAAAAAGAAAATAAATATAAATCATGAACTTTTAAGAGAGTCTTTCCAGGGAAATCAAGTCTCCAGGAATAGGAGTGAGTACACCTAGAGAGCAACCAGCTCAGAAACGACTTAGAAGAGCTTTGGAACCACGCCACAACTCACTAGGAGAGGAGAAATCAATGCTGATTTTGCTTGAAAGATCAGACAGATCCTGGATAAATTTTCCAAGCTTTGAGGAAAAAGAAGGAAATAGAGTCCTTTAGAATTCTTTCTCATGAGAATCCAGACTATTTTACCCTGTATAGGAGATGAGCTATGGGATGAATATGTAGAACTCCAGGCATCATTCCACAAGGGCAAGTATCAAGAAGGGCAAATGCTAAGACAAAGTACCATGAGCTTCTTCTGGAACTCCTGCTGGTCATCCTTGAAGGAGTGCTCCATAAAGACTGCAATAGCTTCCTTCTCACAGGCTGTGTGCACACCTAGCAGCTCCTGGAGCGTGTCTGTGGGGAATCTTATTCTCTGGGCCATCTGCTCACTGTAGTGGTCAGCTGCCTTCTGCATGGCCACTGAGTTTTCACACTGGGCCAGAGTTGTCACTGCATTCTCCAAACAAGGAACCCCTCCACTGTTGATAGTATCCACATAGGTCACAACCAGAGTCCCCAGTCCTGAGTAAAGCAGGAAACAGAGATAAATGTCAATTTCTCACTCAATGAGATTACGATTCTAAAACCATACACACACTCTGCCACACGCCTACTTACTTCTACTATTATCACCTTCATTTGCACATTTACTCCTCTTCTATTTCCTCCAGGCCATCACTTTTGAAAAATGTTAAGTACCTACCTTCACCTAACATAATCAGAGGTGTCTGGAAAAAAGCATTTCACATTAACAAAAAATAAGAGAAAAATAGACCACACAGGAAGGTAAATTAGGCAAGATAATTCAGATAATATTTATTCTGAATTCTTAAGTTTCCAGTGGACTTTCAGGGACTCAGAAAATACTATTTATTTGGATTGGTTTAAACTCCCAAGAAGTCTCCTTGAGAAAAGCGCTTATTATATAGGACTTCCTTGAGAAGATAATGTACTCTATTTTTATACCCAGTTAGTGATTTTATCATCAATGGTGGGGTTCTTCTTAAATGTGGGAACCCCAGTTATCAGTGACAATGTTTGGGGTTCTGAAAAGGGATTTGTTAATCCCATGACGAGAGATAATTACTGAAACACATACACATTTCTCTCTAGGGTGTAAATAGTTATTTATACACTTTTATACAAAATGAAACAAAACTACTGAAAACATATTATAATTAAATAGTCAACATATATTATGCCACTCAGGAATATGATTTTGAAAAAGGAAACTCACGATTCCCAGTGACTTTGACTCCTTCCCTGAGGGTCTTTGTCCTTGCCTTGGTGAAGATATAAGAACAGAAATTATTTGATTGTTCCTTGAATTTAGGATCTAATTGGTTTTCCAAAATATCCTCAATACAGGCTAGGAGCTCCTTTTCATGTGTTGGCCGGTCAAAGACAAAACACTTCCGTTTTGGAAAAAAATGCTTGATATACTCTCTGGTTGTGTTGGAATTTTTAGCTTTGGAATTTGCATCTGAGGAAGAGAGAAAACGGAGTTATAGTAAGCACAGTCTTGGAACAAGACAGCTAAATATTTTTATAACTGAGGATTTTCGATTGTTGGAGACTTCTGTGCTTATAGAACTCCTTTAACATATTCATACAATTGCAAATCAAACTCATATGAATGACATATCACTGGAGAGAAATTTTAGGACATCTGCCCCAGGTAAAAAAACTTATGGCTGGTATCCACAGAGCCAAACACGGTGCCTGATTTGTTAGATGTTTATCAAATGAATGATATAATGAATGATGGTCAAATATTATTCCGGCCTACTCCAACCCATGTTGGAAGTAAACTGTAGGAACAAAATGAAGAGGAGTAACAAACAAAGATAATGGAGTAATGATTAACATAGGACATATGATACCTTATTCAGCGAAGGAAAACTTCATTGATTGATGCTAATAAGAATTCACATACTACAAATAAGACTATTTTTTAGTAGAAACTCTGAAGACTAAACACGGCCTACATGTAATTTAAAGAACTCACCACTACTCCATAAACATGTTGGTTTTGTCAAGTATTCACTCACATAAATGCAATTCATTAAAAGATTTTATTAACTTAAAATGAGATAAGTGAATAAATATATTAGAATTAAAAGGATGACATGATGAGGAAAGTAAAAGGAAGGATCTGGCTATTATCAGAAATAATAAAAAAGTTGTTCTGGTTCAAGATGCGATGCAGGAAGATCCTGAACTCACCACCTCCCACAAACACACCAAATCTACAAATATATATGGAAGAATTTCCTCTGAAAAAAACCTAAAAAAGTGTTGGAGCAACCCCTTCACATTGGGCTGAGAGGGAAACCACATTGAAGTGGGTGAAAAAGGCTGAGACAAAATCTCGCCATAAACCCCACACCTGGTGCTGTGACCCACAATCAGGAAGGAACTCAAAACCCTGAGCTTTTCCCTGAGGTCATCTCAGACTTTAAGACCAGCTCCTGAGAGACAAGCCTCCAAAATATCTGGCTTTGAAGACCAGTGGGGCTCATGCCCACAAGACCAATGGGGCTGTGGTGAACTGAGAAATGGCTCTTAAAGGGCTCACATGCAGACTCACCTGCCCCAGAGCCCAGTGCAGAAACAGCCCTTTGAAAAGTGCCCAGACTTTATGTGAAAGGCTCATTTGCTAATTTTAAAGCATTGGTCTGAGGGGCCTGCTGGGATATTCTCTGGAAACAGAGGCTAGTGGGTGCCATCTTCCTGCTCCCAGTCTGCCTTGCTAAAGCGAACAGGTGCCATCTTGTTAAAAAAACATTTATTTCTTTTCTTTTCTGTTTGCTTTTTCTTTTTTTTCCTTTTCATTTTCTTTTCCTTTTTTTTTTTTCTCCTTTTGGTGAATGCCATCTTGGCACTACCTTTCTGCCTCACTTCAGCCAGTGTCTACCGTATTTCCACTCTTTCTCTGCCATGCTCCAGAGTGCCGGTATCTCCAGGGAGGGAGCTTCTACACACATCCAGTGCCCCAGTTTTTACATCTGGTTACTTTGTTTTTGTGGCTGCCACCCAGGGAATGTCCCTTGATTGTCTGGCTCTGGAGGCTACAGGGGCTTGCATTACTGGGTCCCAGGGGACTGAAATAATTTAAAAGATAGTTTTTGGTAGACTACCATCCCTAGGCATTGCACAGACAGCAGACTAAAACACCTCCAGCTTTTTTGTGAAAGAGGCTTTTTTGTTTGTCCTTGAGCTTCAGCCTTAGGGACAGGCTTCAGGTTTGGCACACAGGCAGGGGCTGCAAAGATGTGCTCAGAGAACATAGGATGGGGACGTCATCCTTGCCCTCTCTCTCTCTCTGCCTCACTATAGCTCACCAGTATCTCTTAGAAAGGAGCATATACACTCATTTGGTGCCCTGTTGTTTGTGACTGCTGTCCAGGAGACACTTCCAGATCACTTGGCTCTGGTAACCAGTGGGGCTTATGCTTGTGGTCCCACAGAACTGTATGTATTTGCATTTTTAAAGCTGCTGTCTGAGAGTCTGGCTTCCAATCAGCCTGAATCTAGGTACTAACTCAGATCCTCCCCTTTGGGACACTGACTGGTCTTGGCACACCCTCAACTACTAGGAGATATTAAAAACAAAATAGGCTACTTGGACAATCACAAAGGTTTGAGACACAACCAGGAGCCAGCGCAGGGTTAAACTATGAGGTTCATCTCCTACATAAGGCCAACCCTTCAAGACTGAGAGAGGTGGCTGTTTCATCTAATGCATAGAAACCTATACAGAGAGTCGAACAAAATGAAGAAACAAACAAATATGTTCCAAACAAAAGAACAAGATAAGACCTCAGAAAGAAAAAAACCCTAATGAAATGGAGAAATGTAATTTACCTGATAAAGAGTTCAAAGTAATAATCATAAAGATCCTCACCGAACTCAGGAGAAGAATGCAGGAACACAGTGAGAACTTCAACAAAGAGATAGAAAATATAAGAAAGTACCAAACAGAAGTCACAGAGTTGAAAAAAACAATAACTGAACTGCAAAATACACTGGGGAGTTCAACAGCAGACCAGATAAAGCAGAAGAAAGGGTCAGTGAACTTGAAGACAGAGTAGAGGAACTCATCCAGTCATAGCAACAAAAAGAAAAAAGAATAAAAAAAAGAGAATATAGCTTAAAGTAATTATGGAACAGCATCAAGCAGACTAATATTCATATTACAGAAGCCCCAGAAGGAGAAAAGAGGGAAAGAAAAGGGCATAAAAATTATTTGAAGAAATACAGGCTGAAAATTTCCCTAACCAGAGGAAGGAAACAGACTTCCAGATCCAGGAATCCCAGAGGGTTCCAAATAAAAGGAACCCAAGGAGACCCACAGGAAGACATATTATAATTAAAATGTCAAAAGTTAAAGACAAGCAGAGAATTTTAAAAGCAGCAAGAGAAAGGCAACTTTTTGTGTACAATAAATCCCCAAAAGACTATCAGCAGATTTTTCTGCAGAAATTTTGCAGGCCAGAAGGAAGTGGTATGATATATTTAAAGTGCTGAAAGAGAAAAACTTCCTACCAAGAATATTCTACCCAGCGAAGTTATCATTCATAATTGAAGGAGAAATAAAGAGTTTTCAAGACAGGCAAAACCTAAAGGAGTTCTTCAGCACGAAACTGGCCTTATAAGAAATGTTGAAGAGAATTCTTTCATCTGAAAAGAAAGAGTGCAAATTAGTAACAAGAAAACACATGAAAGTATAAATCTCACGGGTAAAGGTACATATATAGTAAAGGTAGTGGATTAATCACTTACAAAGTTAGTATGAAGTTTAAAAGACAAAAGTATCAAAAGTAAATGTAACTACAATAATTAGTTAAAGGATACACAAAATAAAAAGATGTAAAATGTGACATAAAAAACATGAGACATGGTGGGATGTAGTAATAATGTAGAGCTTTAGAATGCATTGAAACTTAAGTTGTTATCAACTTAAAATAGATTGTTGTAAATATAGGTTGTTATATGTAAGCCTTGTGGTAATCACAAAGGGAAAACATATAGTAGATATACAAAGAAAGTCATCAAACCACAAAGGAAGAAAGCAAGAGAAGAAGAAAGAAACAGAGGAACTATAAAACAAACATGAAACAATTAACAAAACGGCAATAAGTACATACCTGTCAATAATTACTTTAGATGTAAATGGACTAAATTCTCCAACGAAAAGACATCGAGTGGCTGATTGGATAAAAAATAAGACCTACCTATATGCTGCCTACAAGAGACTCACTTCAGAAATAAGGACACACACAGAATGAAAGTGAAGGGATGGAAAATATATTCCTTGTAAATGGAAACCAAAAGAAAGCCGGAGTAGTTTTACTTATAGCAGACAAAACAGACTTTAAAACAAAAACTGTACTAAGACAAAGAAGGTCATTACATAATGATAAAGTGGTGAATCCAACAGAAGGAAATAAAATTTGAAAATATTTAGGAGTACAAATACCGTAAATATTTAGGAATGCAAATATTGTAAGTATTTGTAAATATAACATTTGTAAATATTATAAAAATATAATATTAGGATATAGTATTTATAAATATTTATATATTTAGGGGCTCTCGATATAGCAGCCCCTAAATATACTAAGTATATATTAACAGATCTAAAGGGAGAAATAGCAATACAATAATAGAAGGGGACTTTAGCAGCCCACTTACATCAATGGATAAATGATTGAGACAGGAAATCAATAGGGAAGTGTTGGCCTTAAACGACATGTTAGACCAGATGGACTTAGATATATACAAAACATGCCATCCAGAAGCAACGGAATACACATTCTTCTCAAGTGCACATGGAATTTTCTCCAGGAGAGATCACATCTTGGGTCACAAATCAAATCTTAACAAATTTAAGAAGATTGAAATCATATCAAGCATCTTTTCTGACCACAGTGGTATGAAACTAGAAATCACTTATAAGAAGAAAACTGGAAAAAACACAAACACATGGAGTCTAAACAACATGCTACTAAACAACCAATGGGTCTTTGAAAAAAATCAAAGAAGGAATCAAAAAATACCTTGAGACAAATGAAAATGAAAATACAACGTTCCAAAATCTACAGGATGCAACAAAAGAAGTTCTAAGAGGGAAATTTATAGTGGTACTGGCCTACCTCGGGAAGCAACAAAAATCTCAAACAATCTAACCTTATGCCTGAAGGAACTAGAAAAAGAAGAATAAACAAAACCCAAAGTTAGTAGAAGGAAGGAAATAATAAAGATCAGAGTGGAAATAAAGGAAATAGAGACTAAAAAGACAATAGAAAAGATTAATGAAACTGAGGTGATTCTTTGAAAAGATAAATAAAATTGACAAACTTTTAGCTATATTCACCAAGAAAAAAGAGAGAGGACTCAAATAAAATCAGAATGAAAGAGGAGACATTACAACTGATACCACAGAAATACAAAGAATCATGAGAGGTTACTATGAAACATTATACACCAACAAATGGAACAACCTAGAAGAAATGGATAAATTCCTAGACATATACAACCTTCCAAGACTGAATCATGAAGAAAAAAAATTTGAACAGACCAATTACTAGTAAGGACATTGAATCAGTAATCAAAAACCTCCCAACAAACAAAAATCCAGGACCAGGCTGCCACATTGGTGAATTCTACCCAGCACTCAAAGAAGAATTAACACATATCCTTATCAAACTCTTCTAAAAATTAGAAGAGGAGAGAACACTTCTAAACTCTTTTTATGAGGCCAGCTTACTCTAATACCAAAACTAGATAAGGACACCACAAGAAAAGAAAATTACAGGCCAATGTCCCTGATGAATACAGATGCACAAATCCTCAACAAATTTAGCAAACCCAAAATGACAATATATTAAAAGAGTCATTTGCCATGATCAAGTGGGATTTACTCCAGGGATGCCATCCAGGCATCCCACTTGATCATGGCAAATAGGCACAAATCAATCACTGTGATACACCACATTAACAAAATGAGGAATAAAAAACCAAATGATCATCTCAATTGATGCAGAAAAATCATTTGACAAAATTCAACGCCTACTTATGATAAAATCTCTCAACAAAGTGGGTATGGAGGGAATGTACCTCAACATAATAAAGGCCATATATGACAAGCCCACAGCAAACATCATACTAAATGGTGAAAAACTGAAAGCTTTTCCTCTAAAATCGGGAACAAGACAAGAATGCCCACCGTTTCCACTTTTATTCAACATGTATTGGAAGTCTTAGCCAGAGCAATTAGGCAAGGAAAAGGAAAAAAAGTCATCCAAATTGGAAAGGAAGTCAAATTGTCATTATTTGCAGATGACATAATATTATATGTAGAAAACCCTAAAAACTCCACCAAAAAACTGTTAGAGCTAATCAATGAATTCAGTAAAATTGCAGGATACAAATCAATATATAGAACTCTGTTGCATTTCTATACTAATAATGACCTACCAGAAAGACAAATTAGGAAAACAGCCCCATTTATGACTGTGTCAAAACAATAAAATACCTAGGAATAAATTTAACCAACTAAGTGAAAGACCTGTACACTGAAAACTGTAGGACATTGATGAAAAAAAAATTGAAGACAAAAATGAATGAAAAAATATCCAGTGTGCACAGACTGGAAGAATTAATATTGGTAAAATGTGGATACTATTCAAAGCAATCTATGGATGCAAAGCAATCCCTATCAAAATTCCAATGCCATTTTTCACATAACTAGAATAAACAATTCTAAAATTTGCATGGAACCACAAAAGACCCCAAATAGTCAAAATAATCTTGAGAAAAAAGAACAAAGCAAGAGATATCACACTCCATGACTTCAACCTACACCACAGAGCTATGGTAAGCAAAATAGTTTGCTATTGGCATAACAACAGACACATAGATCAATAGAACAGAATAGGGAGCCCAGATATAAACCCATGCATATATGGTCAATTAATTTGCAACAAAGGAGCCAAGATTATACAATGGGGAAAGGACAATCTCTTCAATAAACGGTGCTGAGAAAACTGGACAGTCACATTCAAAAGAATGAAACTGGACCACCATCTTATACCATATACAAAAATTAACTCAAAATGTATTAAAGACTTGAATGTAAGACCTGAAACCGTAAAACTCCTAGAAGTTTTACATAGGTAATAAGCTCCTTGACATCAGTCTTAGTGATAATTTTTTGGATTTAACACCAAAAGCAAAGGCAACAAAAGCAAAAATAAACTACATCAAACTAAAAAGCCTCTGCACAGCAAAGGAAACCATCAACAAAATGAAAAGGCAACCTATAGAATGGGAGAAAATATTTGCAAAACATGTATCTGATAAAGGGCTCATATCCAAAATATATAAAGAACTCATACAGCTCAATAGAAAAAAAGCAAACAACCCAATTAAAAGATGGGCAGCGGATCTGAATAGAAATTTTTCTAAAGAAGACACACAGCTATCCAACAGGTATCTGAAAACACGCTCCATGTCACTAATCATCAGGGAAATGCAAACCAAAGTCACAATGATATATCACCTCACACCTGTTAGAATGGCTATTCTCAAAAAAACAAGAAATAACAAGTGTTGGCAAGGATGTGGTGAAAAGGGAACGCTTGTGCACTATTGGTGGCAATGTAAATTGGTATAGCCACTCTGTAGAAGAGTATGGAGATTCTTCAAAACATTAAAAATAGATCCATATGATCCAGCATATGATCTACTATATTGTCCAGCAATTCCACTTCTGGGTATTTATCTAAAGAAAATGAAAACATGAACTTGATAAGATATCAAGTTCATTGCAGCATTTTTTCCAAGGGCCAAGATACGGAAGCAAATCCAGTGTCCATCAATGGATGAATGGATAAAGAAAATGTTACAGGGGCCGGCCCCGTGGCTTAGCAGTTAAGTGCGCGCACTCTGCTACTGGCGGCCCGGGGTTCGGATCCCGGGCACGCACCGATGCACCGCTTCTCCGGCCCTGCTGAGGCCGCGTCCCACATACAGCAACTAGAAGGATCTGCAGCTATGACATACAACTATCTACTAGGGCTTTGGGGAAAAAAAGGAGGAGGATTGACAATAGATGTTAGCTCAGAGCCGGTCTTCCTCAGCAAAAAGAGGAGGATTAGC